TAATGCTAAACACCTTATCTCCTGGATATTTTAACTTGATAGGTCAACACTACCCAAAATGTTTCATTTGAAACAATAAAGATAAATTCAATAGAACAAATTCACAGATCTACATTTAGGAACCTCCAGCAAGTCTCACTTCCAAGACACAAATGAATATTAGCAGATATCCACAATAATGAACTTATCTGTATTTGCATTTCCCAATAGAGAAGAGCAAAATAAATATGATAAGAGTAATTTTATTAAACAAACTGGGTTTAAGAGGAATAGACTAGAATATTTACAATATTCACTTAGGGATGTGTCTAGCTATGAATAACCTAAGTTTACAGAAGCAAAAGTTATTTTTGTTTTTTTTTTCCAAAAATATCTACTGTATAGAAAGAATCATCAAATATCACATCTTGATTCATTGATGCCTTGAATCATTCATTCAGCAAATATTTATTGAGTGCATATCTTTGTTCTATGTGCTAAAGGGCAAAGCATGAACAAAACTACCTGGTTAAAACTGAGAAGCCTCATGCTACTTACACTCAGTGGTTCACAAATCTTTTTGATGCAGACAAGGCACAAACAGGTAAGGCAAGAAGAGGACCTTTAATCTACTACTGGGGGTAGAGGTGATGTCTTTTTCCTAAGAGGCTACAGGGACACCCTGTGGCCATGGTGCTAAGAGACGGAGTCAGGGTTAGCATTTGGGTATTACTCTAAGTATAATGGGTTCCTAACTCAAATTGACAGTAGGCATTAGCATCTAATAAGGGAGAAAGGAGAAGGAGAGGCTAAGGTAAGCCAGAGGAGGAAAGAGAGGATAAAAACAAAACAAAACAAGAACAGTCTGTTTCTAGAGAGAGCTGAGTCAAGGATAAGGAACTTGAAATCAGAGATATCATGAAGTCCACAATCGAAGCCCAAATACTGCTATATTAAATTTCAGAATCAGTGTGCTATCATATTTACCTTTAACATTTTAGCAAGCACAAACAAGTCATTTGGCTATATTTTCTTCCTTCATCTTTGACATGATGAACAAAATGATCAATGTGTCCCTAAGGGACTAGGAGCATGGTAACTCTAGCCATTCAAATTCTTTTTAATGTAAACTTCAGTGACTTTGTTCTTTCTACTGCTCTACCATTAGTGTCTAGAAAAAAGGTTCAATAAATATTGCATGGGTGGATGGGTAGAAGCAGCAAATCCAGAGATACAGAAGCCAAAAGAAAGTAAGCAAAATCTCTTCCAGCCAATCTCCCTTCCCAGAAGGGTTGAGGAATCTCAGCAACTGGGCAGCCTGGGTGGCTCAGTGGTTTAGCGCTGCTTTTTGCCCAGGTTGTGATCCTGGAGACCCGGGACTAAGTCCTACATCAGACTTCCTGCATGGAGCCTGCTTCTCCCTCTGCCTGTGTCTCTGTGTCTGTCTGTCTGTCTGTCTCTGTCTTTCATGAATAAATAAAATCTTTTAAAAAAAAAAGAAAGAAAGAAAGAAAGAAATCAATCAATCAATCAATCAATCTCAGGAACTAGTAGGAGGAATGCCCAGGACTGACCCACAAATTCAAAGAACATGGAGAACTGGCATTTGCTGTATAAGACAAAACTGGCTAGAAAATAGAAAAAGTCCCAAGGATCATGTCTATAACAAAGGCAGAAAAGAATGAACTGGGTCAATAACTAAGAGCAAGCCCAACTGGTTACTGAATAAGAACCCTTTCGGGATGCTAACCAAAAAAGTAAGCATTTCTAAACATGAGGAAGAAATTTTTATGGGATCCCTATAGCCTGTCCAGGCTGTCAGCAAAGCAAGGCAAGGTGCCAAGACATTCTAGACAACACCTGTAATTTTGAAGAGACTTTACAAAGGTGAAACCCCTTTACTACACCTCAATTTCAAATGCACTGTGCATAGCCCTCAAGGCTGGGAGGTAAAAGAAAGGTGGTCTCTGTACACACAGCACCTTAGAAGAGAATTTACCTGAGCACTAAGACACCTGAGAGAGAGAAGGAAATATCAGCAAAAGGAGGAGGGAGAAGGCAGAGGTTACGGTGTCCCAGAGCTAAGTAAACAAAGTGTTTCAAAAAATGGGAGTACAAACAACTGTGTCAAATGTTACTGACATCTGCGTAAATGGTGACCTTGACTCGGGTGCTGCATGCCTGAGGTCAGGCCAAGCAAGAATGGCAGGAAAGAGAGGAGAGAACAAATGTAGATAACACTTTTAAGGAGTTGCTTGACAGAAGAAGCAGAAAGGTACAGGAGAAAAATGTGAGATTAAGAACAAGCTTTTGCCATAGTTACGTTTTGTTTTAAAGATGAGAGCCACTGCAGCATGGTACATGCTAGTAGCAACGATCACGCGGCAGAGAAATGCAACAACTGCGACGGGACCGTTGCTGGGGTGAGGCCTGTGAGCTGGTGAGAAGGAATGGGACCCAGCGCCCACCAGAGAGGATGGGCATAGAGAGGTGAACAGTTTATCCGCCGAAGTGGGGGAAGGCACAATTGATGGGGTACATGTACTTGGGTTAGTACATGTGGAGGTGGAACATGCAGAAATGTCTCAGTGAAGTAGGAAAATATTACTCATCATTAGCTGAGAATGAGGAAGGGGAAGAAAGTGTTGTAAATTTAAGAACGAGAAAGTGAGTAATAATCATGCAAACAAGCAGAAAATGATTGGACAAGGGAAAGGTGGTAGGATTTGCAGCCAGTCAGCACTCAAGGCTCCCACAAGTGCAGCAGTCATGCCTGAGTGTGTGTACGAAGGAACCTAGAACAGAGGCAATGAAGCATGAGCAGAAATCCAGTTTTTCTCAGCCTATCCTTCAGAGAGCAGAATCCACAGGAACAAGTGAAAACTAAGCAGTCAGATCTCAGCCACCTGCTCTTCTCTCTTGAATATACACACATCTGAGCTTTCAGCCTACACATTTTTATCTTGTATATGGTTTAAAGCAGAGAAATGAAGACAGAAGAACTTACTCCAGGCTAACTGCATATCTTCAGGGTGACGGAAATATGAAACTTATCATTCCCTACACTGTTCCTCTCATCACCTTGTTTTTTATTTTACTCTGAGAATCTTTACTCTTAAAAAGGAAAAGAACTTAGATGAAAAATTTTATAAGCCCATGGTGTGAAACCAAGTTGAAGTGCCACAATATGTTGTTGACTATCTGCAGACAGATGGAAACCGTACCACAAATACTGGCAGCCTCCAGTAGAGGCTGGAGTAGATGACTTACAAATAACTCCTACAGACCCTCTGCCCCAGGCCCATCAAGGCAGGCCCTGTTTGTTCTGGTGAACATAGGCTTCCCCACTCTCCCTGACCTGCCACCACTCCGACTCACCCCAGTCCTCCCACCTATTCTGTTACTGGAGCTATGTATAAGCATGAAAAGGTTTGAGAAAAACCTTTTCCATAATCAGGGCAGAAAGCACTCAGCTTGCTGGGGTAGAAGTCCATGTGAGACAGGGAAGAGAGCCGCTTGTTCACTGCAGAGCTACTTTGCAATTATTCATTCCCCAGATCCAGTGACATATAAAAGTGTTTTTAGTACTAGAAAGAACTGAGAAGATCAGTAGACAGGTTCTACTGGCAACATTTAATAAATACAGTGAGGTTCAGAAACCCTGAAGGAAATGATCCCAAAAATAAATTAAAAAAACAGATAGGACTGCCTAGACTTAAGATGTGAGCAATGTCATATTCTAAATTATTTCCAAAAGCTTATACTGGTTCGAAGTGAAGATATTTTTTCACCTTAACTTTATAATACTTCCAATTTTAAAAAGTCCTAGCAATAAAATTTATTCTATATCAAGTATCACCAGTAAACATTTCTAAATCTTAATATTAAAACAGTAATACTCTTAAGCCCATATTTTAAACTTGGTATACCTTCAACAAAATTTTACAAGTAGAACACACAAATCAAAGACTTGTTTTAAATAGTTAACTACAAAATAGAAGGCTGTCCTCAATCTGTTATGAACCCATTTTTCCTGATTTTTGTACTTCTCCAATAAAACCTTAATGTTAACACAAAGCTATATAAAAACAAAAGACAACTTAAATACCAGCAAAAATTAAAAAACAACTTAATCCATTATATTCCAGATGTGGAGTAGAGGCTAAACCCTGAAAAGAAATAAAAAGAAACCCCAAATAAAGGAGCACCTGCACTAATTTACATCTGACTTTGTTCTGCTCCCCTACAAAAGATGAGTGGATGATATATATACCTCAAATTTTAAAAATTAAATGTGCAATAAGTGGGTAAAGAAACAAGTAAATATAATTGAGCACACAACTAAATACTAAAATCTTCTTTGGGATGCCTGGGTGACTCACGCCTGGGTGGAGCGTCTGCCTTCAGCTCAGGGCGTGATCCTGGAGTACTGGGATCGATTTCTGCATTGGGCTCCCTGCATGGAACCTGCTACTCTTCCCTGTGTCTCTGCCCCTCTCTCTCTCTCTCTCTCTCTCTCTCTCTCTCTCTCTCTCTCTCTCATAAATAAGATCTTTTAAAAAAAGGGGGGGGGTCTAAAGGTTCAAAGGAATTTTAAATAAAAATAAATAAAAACACACACACACACACACACACTCCATCACTGATGGGATGCAGGGAAAACCCAAATACTCTCATTCAGGTCAAAGTCATTCTCTAAATGAAGGTATTTAGCATTAGCACTGAACGAACGTGCCCTGTAATAAAGGTAACTTTAAGATGAGCTAATTAATTGAATTAGAGTTTTGGAGATTATCCAAGAAATTATAACATGTAAATGGAGCTGGTGCAAATAATTACAGGTGTACAGGATCTAACTGAAGTTCTGTGTAAATATATGTGAGAATCTGATTTCCCCAGATCCAGTGTGCCAGACTGGGCAGTTTTTCTGATCGTGGCAATTTCATTGGTTTCATGAAACACATCTATTCACCTACATGATTATCAACAATGGGCTTCCCAGCAGCAACATTCCTTCTCACCTGTCTTTGATGATCCAGATCTGCTTTATTACCAATTAAAATCATTGGAAACTCATCACGATCCTTCACTCTGAGAATCTGTCTTTGAAACTTATAGATTTCTTCAAAACTAAAACAGAAACAGACAAATCAATTTGCTTAAATATCAGAACTTGGCAAGTCCCACGTCCCACTTAGTACCTTATTACTTTACCTTTTTCTATAAAAACAAGAAAGTTCAAATTCAATACAATAGTGATCTAGATATGAACATAAGATCTACATCTTAATACTGGTACAAACCTGCCTCGATCTGTGACTGAAAAGACCAACAGGAAACCCTCGCCAGTTCTCATATACTGCTCTCTCATGGCTCCAAACTCTTCTTGTCCTGCTGTATCCAGAACTAAAGAGAAAACAACACATGTAACTATGTTCATGTTTTCATTTCATAAATGGCTTCTCCACAAGGCCAGGCCCAATTAATGTGGGTCCTTAGAGCACATCAGACTTAGTATAATAAAGACATGGCATTCTCCTCGTAGTGCTTTATTCTCAACACTAAAGACAAACATCTCACTGAGACAGTTTCAGAGTCATCTTCATCAGTACGGGTTGATTTTGTAGCTAGAATATATTAGCATACCAATTACAAGGTTAAAAATATCAAATACATCTAGGCAGATGGAGTCAGATAACCTCTAAAGTCACTTGCATGTTTGATCTCCTCCAGGGAAAAAAACTGAAAAAAGATACCTGTAAATTCAGGAAAGGAATCTTGGTCTAGTCTCCCCAACCCCCAAACACCACACTTAAAGTGCAGGTGCTAATGTACGTCTTAATCTCTGTGAATGAAAGAATTGTGTAACTTAAAAGATCAGGGCTATCTTTTGTGGAGACACAGAGTATATGACCAAGCATAAAAGCCTATTTGCTAAAACCTCTGTGCTAAAAATTCTAAGCAAGTTAACAAATACTCAATCTTTCTATATTTACTTCACTCATTTGAACCTTTGCAAGATCGCAGAAAGAGCCAAAACCTCATGTTTTTTCCAAATGTCCCCAAAAATACAACTTCGACAAGTTACAGTGGAAACTGGTTTCACTAGCACAAGATGAACACAATTATTGTTTTACACTACATTTAGTGAGGAATATTTATCCTAAAATGCTGATTCACCAATCAAAACTAATGAAAGAGATAGGCTTATATTCAAGACCACCATTCAATACTTCAATCATAGTATGCAACTAGCAAAGCATCCAAGCTTACTTTTTAAAAATATGATATGTGAACTATCAAATAAAAGAAGATTACTTACTATCTAGCCGGGCTGCTCTGTCATCTATCACACACTGCTTTGTGTAGGAATCCTCGATGGTTGGGTCATAATCCGTTACAAAATAGGACTGTAAGAAAAATAATCTTATTTTTAAATCTATGTTTACTTGCCTCTCCAAGTATCAACTTTATCAAATCCCACTTATCCAGAATTTTTACTGACAATACATTCATCGTATTGAGGTTTATCCTGCTATGTTGATTCCCCATTAACTGAAGTCTATTCAGAGCTGCTTTCAAGTGGAGAAAAGGTACTAAATACCACAATTTTCCTTTCTGGTATATACAATAAGAGTCCAAAAGACCTACTCGGTTTTTACATAATTATATACAATAACTTTCTCATAATTATGTATACCTAAGATAATATATACCTAGAGCTCACATTCTTTATAAACTAGAAAGACAACCAGTTATAATCCAGGTCCATTTTCAACTCAGTGGTGAGCATTAGGGCAGAGAACAAAGCAGTCGAAGCAAAGGGAGACAGCAGAGACCTGGAAGATCCCAGGCCTTGTCTTCATTTCTCCCCTTCTCTCCTCACACCTTGTCTTTTTCCCATGGGATTTCAGAATTGTTTTTGTTTTGTTTTGTTTTTTATTTGCAGGGGTCTCAAACTTATTCTTTCGCTGATATTTTTGTTGTTGTTGTTGTTTTTTTTCATCTCAACATTTATTCCTGTCTTCTTCTGTTAGCAAAGCCTCCAACTGTTATCTTCTGCAATCATCACCAGAAGAAAGAACAGTTACGGTAGCAGAGTAAGAAGGGAAGAATCTCAGTGGGCCAGTTAAAAATGTGTATTACACTTCACAATTTTTTTTAAAGGTTTTAAAAAGCAAACAATGGCAACAACAAGAATCTGAGAGAGCACTTATTTCCCGCTTCTTACAGAAGGGCACTAACTAGGACACTGACATCATCCTTCTTTTGTTCTGAGCATCTCCTTTGCTCTCCCCTCTTGATTGACTTCCTCGGAGCCTACTTTCCCACTGGCTCGGGACCAAATCTGAGGGAATGACCTAGAGGAAGGCCACTTAATGCTGGGAACCGGAGCCACAGGGGTTCAGCCATCCTTCAGGCAGGTTACTGGCAGCTGCACCTACTGATTCCAGGGACAGAGCATTCTTAAGTGACAACCCCCAGCCTATGACATACACAAACACCATACGGCTACTCAGAGGCAGGCATCTGAGCAAGACGGTAAAAGAAACCCCTGGTTGGGGAGTTGGAAGAAGGACGCTGGTCTGCTTGCTACTATGATTTTATGTATTTTATTTTTGAAGGCCACTTTCTATATTTTATTTATATTTTAGGATTAACTTTAATCACAGAATTCAGTATCCCTAATCCTATTTCCCTTTGGATGGTTTCACTTAAACACATGATTTTTTTTTAAACAAAGTCTGTAAAAGAAACATTTACCAACAGGAGCAGCTTTGAGTAGAAAACCATCTCCATCACCACCCCGTCCCCATTTAAAAATTAACAGATACTAAAACAATCCCAAACTTACTTTTTGGCACCCACACCTCTTCAAAAAGTGATACAACTGGCAACAGTATCTTTGTACACACTAATCTAAACAACTTAAAACTGCATTCTTTCCCCCAAGCAAGTTGGATAAGCATGCTGTTTATATCTTTTTAAGATTAGCTTCCTGAAACATGTTTCTCGGTAGCAATCAGATACTTCCTGCCATGCTTTCATCTTGTGAAACCTGAATTTCATTGACTACTCCCAGTTTATACCTAAATGTGCTAAAATGTGCCACACATTCCCTCCCACTTAATCTGAAAAAAATAATGGACAAATATTAAATATATTTTAGTCATGCACAATAATGAATTCTTTCACTGTGACCGGTTTTTCCCTGCACCGTGAAACAGAAGTAAAACATTAATGTATATAGAAGATTACTGGGTTTAAGCAACTTTGAGAGCCATTAAAATAAATCATTTTTCCTTTTAGTGGCTGAGGAAATTTTCAAGTTTCACATTTTCTTTGACCCTTAGCTCTTGAAACATTGGCTTTCTTTCTTTCTTTCTTTCTTTCTTTCTTTCTTTCTTTCTTTCTTCTTTCTTTCTTTTTTTTTTTTTTTTTTTTTTTTTAATTTTTGGTGAGAAGGAGAAAGGGAGATAGAGAATCTCAAGCAGGCTCCATGCCCAGGGCAGAGCAGGACGTGGGGCTCAAGCTCACAACCCTAAGATCATGACCTGAGCCAAAATCAGGAGTCACACTCTTAAACAACTGGGCACCCAGATGACCCAACATAACCTTAATGTCCTAAGAATTCTCCATTTTGCTAACATTGGCACATACTTATTCCACTGACGTTTTTAAGACAAACTAATTGCTGGGATTTCTAGATATTTAGGTCCATGTTTCATCTTCATTTTGTCCTGTTTTCAAATCATGTCTGTAGGGACCCTCATTCTGTTGCCATATATCGATTTTAAGGAGCCATCCTCTCTGAAAGCATCTTCTTCCCTCATAAAAGCCCATCCAAATAACACCGCTCCAGGACCTGACACACAGAACCCAAGCCCACCTCCTCTCTCTCAAGTCTCGTAAGTCACAGGTCAGGATGCGCCTAAAAAGAACATTTCTCATGTGCAGTTAACAAATATAATCATCTACCTCCCACCACAGAGACATACCATGTCTATTATGTAACCTAGGTACCAAGTATTTGGGGCAGCAGATCACCACCAATTAGCAGATCACCGATTTGTCCATCAAAGCAGTCTGGTGATGGACAGTCCTAGATTTTTGACACGAACTCTGCTATGTTCCAGCTGTGGGACCTGAGGCAAATTACTATGCCGCTCTAACCTTTAGCATCTGTAAAATACAATAGTAACAAATCCTCTTGGAACAGATAATGGAAGTAGTGCCTACAAAGTGCCAAGACTTGCTGGCGATTGATAAATGTTAAACCACGCTGTATTATTTTTGTCACACAATTAGAGGGTATGAGTTAGTATTCAAGTATAAAGACTTGTTAATCCTGAGAACAACTGTAATAATCCTAATCCTGGTTACACCACAGATCAACCATGGGACCTGGCATCCGAAATATCTTGTGAGTCAAGATAAAATCTCCTCATCTTGGGTTTTAGAGGTATTTTCTGGGATATGAGCAGTAATTACACAGATATACACACAGGTAAAAACTCTCATCAAGCTTTACATAAAATGTGTGCGCTTTTTCATATGTATACAAATTAGAACTCTATAAAATACATAAAAGTAATGGTTCCCTGCTGTTTACAGGATTCAGTACTTTCTTTACACAGAATGCAAAACCTTCTAGCTTTATTTTTTACTACTTGAAATCCTCAACCAATTGCTCTTGTTCTCCTGGCTTCATTCGTTTGTTTGACAGTTATTTATGGAGCATCACAGGGACAAGGCCCAACTTTCACAGAGCCCCACTGCTTTTTACACAACATCCAGGGCTGTGGTTGAGGGTGAGGGGAATGGGGAGTGTGAAATATACTGGCCAAAGAACTGAAACACCATGAAATGCCAATACCATGCTAGTTCAGAAGGCAACAAAATTTAAGTGGTTAATACTGCAGTCATGTATAGAACTATGTGTGCATTCACTTATAAACATAGTTCGCAGCAATTTGCCAGAAAAGAAAACAGTCTCTCTCTCTCTCTCTCCTGAGGCTGAAAGAAGTTGCCAACCACAGTCCAGGAAAGACATTCTATAGCAGAAAGCAAGAAAAAAAATTAAGGACAGTATTGCATAGCAGAAGACAGGAGAGAACACATGGAAAGGAAAGGGGGCCAGGGAGAAAGTAATGTACTGTCTTGGTATCACAGGAAAGGATGCATGGAGAAGGACCCTCACTGGAGAGTAAGGGAAAGCCTACTTTCAAAGGGCAGGATGCCTTGCAGGTAGTATGAAGGGCAAATGGACATAAGTCTCTTTAAGGTTAAGATTTATGGAGAAAAGTTTAGAATTAGGGAAGTTATCCCATTCAGACAGAGTCTACTTCCCTCTGATAAAATCTGGTCTGGGTAAAGTCATCAGAAGCCTTAAAAATGCAAGAGCATCATGCTGTGACATGGCAGGAACAGTATTCCTGATTATACGCCACGAGACTGCACAACAGGAATTCTGCCTGGCCTAAGAGAACTCCCAGCTCACTATCTTCCCAAAGGTGTCTTAGGAAAAAAAAAAAAAAAAGCAGCAGCAGCCACCGCCTTAACGATGAAAAGAAGGGGGAAGGGGAGGAAAGAAGACGAGCTGAGGCCACTTCTGCATTCAGTGGGAAGGAGGGAGAGCACACTTTCTCCTGACCCCCAGCTACTGGTGAAAGTGCAGTTCCCAAGCACTGCCACAGAGCGGTGCCTGGTCTACACAACGGGATGGGTAATTACTAGATTCCCGCAACTCCGCAAATCCAGCACAACGGTTAAGTTTACTACCCTTGCATATAAAAAGGACAGGAGGCTAGATCTAAACTGTCACTGAGGAGTTGTAGGCAAAGGAATGGGTATTTCTGAGCATAGTGCCATTCTCAGAAGAGTCTCAGGGGTCCTCTAAAAACACGGGGTACAGAAAGAAGGGAAAGGGAGACTTTCTTTTCTTAATATCCTGTTCAGCTCACCTCTTTTCTCCCAAACTACACACAGAATCCACATCTTGAGGGGATTCCTGGGTGGCTCAACGGTCTAGCAACCCCTTCGGCTCAGGGCGTGACCCTGGAGTCCCGGGATCAAGTCCCACATCCGGCTCCCTGCATGGAGCCTGCTTCTCCCTCTGCCTGTGTCTCTGCCTCTCTCTGTGTGCCTCTCATGAATGGATAAATACAATATTTTTTTAAAAAATTTTTTAAAAAGAATCCACATCTTGAAACACTGTAGATACAGAATTCTGTGGTTCCCCGCTCCCCTCCATTTCAAGTCAGTATTTTCCCATTCTTAATCCTATCCACAAAACTTGTATTATGTTTTCTAATTTATGATAAACCAAAACATGAGGTTTTATAAGGGCTCATTTTCTATTAATACATGTATATGAGGTCTTTGCTGGAGGCAGCACAATGAGAAGAAAATATATGGGCTCCACAGTCTGAGAAACCTGAAATTCAAACCCAGGTGCCATATCCACTTTCCAGCTATTTGAGTCCTTGGGTAAAATGATTAACATCTCTAAAGCTCATTTCCTCAACAGAAAAGGGTTAAGAACAGGGATAATTTAAGGAGGGCACATCTTAGCACCCACTATAGATGTGGCACTGGAGGACCATGGGAAAAAAAGAAACCTTCCAGAAAGGGAAGGGGCAGAGGTGGGGTGGGGGGTGATTAGGGGAGGAATGGGGAAGATGACCAGAGGGACTGAAGAGCTGCAGTCACCAGTGAGTGCTATGTATGCCCCCCCTTCTCTTCCAGGCTAGGAGTGTCTGCTGAGGTTATGCAGCTTCATCCTACCACTGTACCCTGGTGTACGGGGCTGCAGGGAGGCAGCAGGGTGGAGTGGAAAGAGCCTGAGATGTAAGTCAAATAGACCAGAATACAGCTCTCTCTTTTTACTACCTGTGGGAAGTTAAAGCACCTCACTTAACCTGTCTGAACTTTATTTCATTGTCTGATAAGATGGAAATAATACTGGGGTGCCTAGGTGGCTCAAACGGTTAAGCCTCCAACTCTTGATTTCAGCTCAGGTCGTGATCTCAGGGTCATTAGATCGAGCCCCACACTGGGCTCTGCACTGAGCATAGAGCCTGCTTAAGATTCTCTCTTCCAATTGAGCCCAGCATTGGACTCTGGGCAGACTCTGCTTGAGACTCACTCTCCTTCTGCCCCTCCCTCCCAGCTCTGTCTAACATAAATAAATAACAAAATATATTTTAAAGATTCTCTCTCTCCCTCAGCCCCAACCTCCCTCAAAAAAAAAAAAAAAGGACGGAAATAATACTAAGCTCGCAGGATTATTATGGTGAAAAGTAAAATACTGTATGTGGAGTACAAAGTACAACCTATGACACACAGTAGGTTCTTACAGGTCATACCTAATGAAGCCCAATCCATATCTTACTTCCTTTGCAAGACCTACAAACACTCCAACTAGAAAACCATCTCAATATGCCTGGATTACTCTTACCCCTCAAGGTGATAGAATATTTGAAATTGGGAAAATCTAGACCTATGCTGCGATTTGGAAAATCTGTACACCAAACTTTACCTATACCTTCTGTTAGTAATTGGTACTTACAATTTACGTTTACAATTGTTTATCTTTTTCATATATGTGTATATGTGAAAGTATAAATGATGCAATGAGCTAAATTTATAAGCATAAAACTTTCCTTCAAAGACCTTCTGTGGGCAAGTTTTTCCTTGCTCATGAACAAAATCTAACACAAGTCTCCCAACTTTTTCCAATCATTCTTTGATATAAATAAATAGTTGTTCAATCACTGCCAGCCCTAAGACATTATGATTTCAGTAATTAAGATGTCTTGTACAGTGTATCAGTCAATACTCATCTAAATTCAAAAGCTTTTCTCCCTTTCTGAGCTAAAGCTAAGAAGTCTGCAATTGGGCTGGGGTGGGGGTGGGGCAAGGTGAGGGGGACACCAGTCATCATCTCTTTCCCCATTTTATTCTACTTCTAACAAGGCTGTCTCTGGCTCCTTTAGGGTTGGAGCTGAAGGAGTGGGGAGAAGTAAGGAGCGGCAAAGAGGCGACACCAATGAAATCTTATGTCCATGCTAGCTTTCTGAGGATTTCCTAGAAGAGTCCCTACATGGGATCCTCCATGTGTAATTCCCAGAACCTGATGAGTACTAGCCATTTATGCCTCTAAACTTCAATCTTTGGGGTTTCCACGGGCATTTCCTTCTGGCTCATATCATCTTCTAGGTGGTCATGCACAATGTCCCTCTTTAGAAGGTTTTAACCTGGTTCCATCCAGAAACTCAAGGAAACACTGTCTTCTGAAATGCAGATTACTAACTATACAGCCCGTTCCTTTCTGCTGTGCTACAGATCCACAGATTCACATACT